CCTCGCCCAGGGGCCCAGCCCCGGTGGCGGCAGGGGGGGGCGGGGGGGGGACCTTGTCCGCACCGGTCGGGTGCCGGCCTGCTGTCCCCGAGGGGGAAACGCAGACGGTGGCGGGTCTGACCGCGAGAGGAGGGCCCTCCGCAGGTCCCTTCTTTCTCTCGCGCCCAACCGCCCCGTCCTCGCCCCCCCCCCGGGACGTCCTGCACGGCCCGGACAGCCCTCCACGGTGCCCGCCCTTCCTCACTTTACGGTCACCGGAAAAAGGTGGCATGCGAGCGCTTTTCTTGGGGGAAAAAACACGCTCGCACACAAAACGCCAGGCGCTTGGCTCGGAAGGGGCCAGTCGGCCGAGCCCGCACGCCGCACACCGAACCCGTCCCCTTCCCCCCCCCCCCCCCCCCCCCACTGTAGAAAGGAGGTGAGCACACTGGAGAGGGTCCAGCGGAGAGTGACCAAAGTCATCAGGGGGCTGGAGCACATAACCTATGAGGAGAGACTGAGGGATTTGGGTTTGTTTAGTCTGCAGAAGAGAAGAACGAGGGGGGATTTGGTAGCAGCCTTCAACTTCCTGAAGGAAGGTTCCAAAGAGGATGGAGAAAGACTGTTCACAGTAGCAATGGATGACAGAACAAGGAGCAATGGTCTCAAGTTACAGTGGGGGAGGTCTTGGTTGGATATTAGGAAAAACTATTTCACTAAGAGGGTGGTGAAGCACTGGAATGGGTTCGCTAGGGAGGTGGTGGAATCTCCATCCCTAGAGGTTTTTAAGTCTCGGCTTGACAAAACCCTGGCTGGGTTGATCCTTCCTTGGGCAGGGGGCTGGACTTGATGACCTCCTGAGGTCTCTTCCAACTATGATTCTAAGCTCCCCAATGCTTCACCGCAGGCTTTACAGTATGAAACCTTTAATAAGCTTTGTGCTGCAGAGCTGGCAGCTCATGTAATTGCTATGCATTTCAGGAATTAGTTACTTTTTAACTGCATTTTTACATCCCTTGCCTCCACCCCATAATCACTATAGATTATGGAAGAAAACAAGTTCTCCACTCCATGCATATCCTCTCCATTATCCAGCATGCGTATTACCTCGGGAGCAATACATCACACACAGCTGCGATTCAGATTTCCTAGGTTCCCACTGCCAGCAGTAATTGTAATACTGTGCACATTGATGGCACTGCTGCCTCCCATGGGAAACATCAGTCTAGAAATGCACAGGTCTGCCGCTTACCCTGAGCGTAGAGGGAGTCCTTGCCCTTCTTGTACTGGGTCACTTTGTGGGGCTGGTGCTTGCAGCATTTCTTGCAGTACGTTCTGCGGGTTTTGGGGACGTTCACCTAGCAAAGAACAGCGCCAGCGTGTTAGATTCAATGGCCGTCGCTCTCCCTGTGTCGTCCCAAGGAAGATGAAGCCTGAGCAGCGTCATGCTCCTGCCCCCACGCCGTACCGGGATCACAGCACTGGGAGAGGCACGCTGGGTCCCTACCGATCTCTCCCCGCACAGGCGGGCGATTCTGCGGGTTTTGGGGACGTTCACCTAGCAAAGAACAGCGCCAGCGTGTTAGATTCAATGGCCGTCGCTCTCCCTGTGTCGTCCCAAGGAAGATGAAGCCTGAGCAGCGTCATGCTCCTGCCCCCACGCCGTACCGGGATCACAGCACTGGGAGAGGCACGCTGGGTCCCTACCGATCTCTCCCCGCACAGGCGGGCGATGCCCACAAACCCCAGGGCCCCGGCCTTGCAGCAAAGGCGGGGGGAGGGGCCGGTGCCGCTCCGCCCCTCCCCCAGCCCAGGGCCAGGCAAGCACCCCCCTGTGC